TATTGTGTTTTAAGTGCAGACCAGTTGAAAAAATAAGCAAACCCTCAACTGGATTACTGAAGCAGCTTGTTGAAATCATGTTAAAGTGCTTTATCTTGTAACAAAAGCACCAGAAAAGATGCCATGAAGACATCGTCACAGGAGTTTTCATCATCTGTTTTTTAAAACTGGCTGAAGGCTTCCTGCTCTTACTTTGAAGGCAGCGTCCCCTGACCTGCAGCTCCCTCCACTGACAACAACTTGACAACATTTCTGCCTTTTCCACTCTGGTCCCCATAGGAACAGCTGACTCCACCTCCAGCTCTGAAAAAAGGGAAAGCAGGACTCCTGAAGACATTCACATGTGGGATGATGTTTATAAATGAACAACCAGGTAAACTACGGTCTGCTTCGGTCAGCAAAGAAAAATAAATAACCCTCCTCAGGTGATTTTCATATCTGAAGATTTTTATGATTCCAGGACTGATTTCTTACACGTTCGACTCGGAGCTGCAAACAAGAAAGTCGCACTGAGACCAATTAGTGGCGGTTAGTCAAGTCAGAGGAAAGGCAGACTAAAGAGGGAAATAATGGAAACTAATACTCACTCGTCTTCCACTTCGGTCTTCCCACAGGAGCCTCTTCGTCGGTCTCGCAAGAAAACAAACGGTTGGCGTCATCATGTTAACAGCTTTTTTTTTATTACAAAAAAAACAGTATACATTAAACATTTAGCGAAGGGATTGCAGAGATGTTAATAAAACCTAGCATTGTCCCTCATTTTGTCATTTTATTTTAAATAAAAAAAAAAATGTACAAAAGTGCTTACATGGTGCAAATAATGAGAAGTAAAAGGTCTATAAAAGAGGAGGGTAAAGAAAAAAAAAAAAAAACATGTACATTATATCCAAGGTCTAAAAATGCAGCAGAGCAGGAGATGCGACTATATTACACAGCTGTAAAAAATAACCCAAAGCTGCTCGGGATCGGTTCACTAGGTAGTTAATCCTCACGCAGCCCCGTCGCTGCCTGTAACTCTTTACTGACGATGAGGTTAATAAATATTGCTTAAATAACCCACAGGGCTCATGGGTTTTGTTCTGTTTAAAACTGATCTATTAGTCTCCACTACAGAGCTTGTAAAATCTCTAACGTTTGCCACCGGCAGTGATTATGAGTGACGGACAATAACACGATAAATCTCCCGTTGGTTCCTAATACAATCACAACTCTTGTGGATTTTTAATGGCACTTTTTTTTGTCGATAATACCTCTAGATAACTTGCTTGTAACTCAGTCCACGGTATAGAAAAGTGAGAAAAATTGCTAAGTAACGACGTTCACGTGAGGCTTTTTTTTCCCGCCCGCTGCTCGTAACGGTTTCCTGGCTGTTCGGGCGGCGCCACGGTGAACGTCTCGCTGCTGGTGTAAGGCTACTCATGAATCCACGCTGAAGAGGCTCCTCCCTTTACTGACCTGCGCATCCTGGGATCAGTAACAAACGCTCCCAATAACAACTGCTCTCCCAAAGAGGTCAAAGTCTGGAAAAGGTTTTTTTATTTTCTCCCAAAACTGAGGCGGCGTCTCCTCCGGAGAACGGTCCAGTTTCCAGGCTCAGGATCAGTAACTGTTCTCGTGACCTGCTAGGATGTAGAGGTTGCTCAGGGCCGTGGGGTTGTCGGTCGGTCGGCTCTCCAAAACCACCACCCTGCAGAAAGAAGAAATACCGGAGCTGCAGTTAGAATAGAAAGCAGCCCCTCTCTGGTTCATTAAACCTCCAAAAACTCATCTCTCTGTATCAAAGTTTCACAGTTTTTCCCACAAAAATATTCTTTTCCTGCTTTAAAATCCTCCTGGAGCACAACAGCTCACCAACAACGTCAAACTACTCCACAGCACACAATGACAAGTTGTACTACTGGAGGAATTCAGCCCAAATGTTTGAACCAGTTCTGAAGATGAATAATGCTGCAGAAAGCTCAAACCTACAAGCTGACAGGATTGTTTTTTTTTTTTTTTGTAGGTTTGTTACATATAAAAACAAGGAAGTCTCCGTCTGTGTTTTCCATACTACTGTCAGTCAGTGCTCAACTGCTTATTTCACTCACAATGTGTCTTCCAGCATAAAAAAAAAAACACCATGAGAACATACTAACAAGGTGAAAACTTGGATAAAGCTCCCTCAATATTCATATTTAAAAATGATTGTTTTTTTTTTTAAAGTTATTGTTTTGGCCTTTGTGCCTTTATTAGACAGTGCAGTGGGAGAGAGACAGCGCAGTGGGGGAGAAGAATGGGGGGAGAACGTGTCGGAAAGTTTCAAACTCATGACCTCCACATCAGGACTACAGCCCTGTACATGGGACATGGCTCAAGTCGGTGAGCTACAGCGGCGCCCCTTAAAAATGAATTTTAATAAACTTGAATTGCTGTAAATTTAAAAAGGCTACTTCCCCAAACAAAAGACACAAAGCAGGACAGAAGAGTAAATCATGTCTGTTTTAACTCAGCAGGAATATTAAATTAGAAAAGCTGATCTACAGTTAAAAGGTTAATATTTGAATACCTGAGAGCTTTGCTGCATCATATTCTGTTACATTTTGACCTGGTGCTTGAATTTTGTGTTTTCCTTTGCATTAAAAAAAAGAGACGTTTGCAGCAGAAATAATGAGCAAAAGGCATAAATTGGTGCATAAACATTTATCAGAAAGCAGGAATTCAAGTTTTTGATGCTTAAGCTCTGCTGCCAGAGGATTAATGTGTCCCAGTATCCTACACCCAGGTCTTTTACAAGCTCCCACCTTCCAGTCACCTCATTCAGGTTTCATGTGAATCATCGTTCCTCCACCATCAGCATTCAGACCCTGCAAGTGTCTACTGATCTCCCGTCATCCCTAACCTACGCTCATTAGAGATCAGTCACATCAGTGGCGTCTAATTGGCAAAGACTTTCTCTGCTGTTCATCTTAATACACATTCTTTTGCAATCTTTTTTGTTTATTTTTTTATCTGCCCTTATAATAATAAAATGTTGTTAGTTACTGATCTTAAGGTGCAGATGTGCAGTTTTTGACACTTCAGGCAAAACCAGTTTCCTTAGTGATTTCCTTGTCTATTAGAAAGTAAAACATGTCTCATAATGATGAATATTGAACAGCAACAATACCATTTGATCAGTTTTAGATGGTTGAATCCATTCTTCTACATTTATGGTCGTGACTGTTCTGAGCTTGAGGCAGTGTGGTTTGAAAATCAAACTCCTGTGAACAGTTTGTGCTTTTTTTTCCAGGCGTTGTTTTACTGCATCTTTGAAAAATGAATAAAACCTGTGGGTGGCTGGAAAAGTGACAAATGACCTAAATACATATTGTGTGCTTTGAATAATGTGAATCATACATGTCATATAATTATGATGTTTTATAAATATGATCAGCTGACAAGATAATATGAGGCTAGCTGATAAACTTCTGTCAGCAGCAACTAGTAGAAAAGCGTAACTTATTGATAGGAAACTTAGTAATAATTGATCCGCGCTGACAGCTAATGACAAGACCGCGGCATCATGTTGATGGTATCAGTCTGCAGATATCATTGTACTGACAGAGTCGTGCATGTTAAATGTCACATTAGGCGACAGTCAGATCAGGACGGCGGTGGAAGCATCTTCTGATGCCACCCGTCTCGTGTTGGTGACAGCCGAGCAGGGAAGCTACAGTCTATACTGTCCGTTCCATCAGATGAAATTACAGAGGCATGGAGAGACACTCAAACCAGGCTGGCAGTGCCCAGGCGGCGGTGAATAAAACATGGGGGGCTGGGCAGCAGAGAGAGGCTTGCTCCGGTGCCACCGGCAGGGCGGCTCGATCCGGAGTCCGAGTGGCATCGCTGGGCGAGCCTCCGTCACTGAGCATGCTCAGTCTGAGTGTGTGTGAGTTAAATCACGTCCTGCTTTGTCTGCAGCTGAGAGCAACCGGCAGCACATCAGCAGTGAAGCTACTTTGTCATAGAATAACTGTATGTTTGTGAATGAGCAAATAGAAAGCGTCGTTTCTTTTACATTTAACGTTGGCATACCTCTTATGTCATCAATCAGTTATTCAACAATAATGTGGAGGTAAAAGTAAATTAACTCTGAATCCATCCAAAGAGTCACATCTAAAGTTGAAATCATGATATTTAATTGAAATCACTTGATTCTATAAGATTAACTTTTAAAGTGCAAAAATAAATAACTTCAATGAAACTAATTCTGTGAAAAACAAAGAATTCATGGCATGATTGAGAAGGCAACAATGACTCAGTTTCAGGCTGAACTGATGTGTTTACACAGCGGATGGAGATAAGTATGGAAACAAATTTTAAAAAGCAGTTGTAGTAAATTGTGTATATTGATATCGATCGTAGCATCATTTCTTTCCAGTATTGTTAATCCACTTACAGGGATCTGGATAAATGTGGACATGTTGATTACAGACATTTTTGTACAGAACTTTTTTCTCCAGATATATGCATTTTGGTGGTGTTATACTGCAGATAAGACATTTTTGAGTTCTCTCTAATCCAAGCCATGGTTGTGCTGCTTCTATAGAGATGCAGGACAAAAAAAAAGCCACATAAAATGCCCACAAACTGTGCAAAGGGTTAATCAACTTGCCTGTAAATAATAATTAAAGAAACAAAAATAAAAATATTTGCTGATTTCTTCATCTTGTGTAACTAACTTCAAATTTAGGACTGTTGGTCAGTAAATTAACAAAATACTTTTTTAATTAAAATGGTAATTTTATAGGGAAAACTCACCAAAATAAAAGGACTGATGACACAGCAAAAATACTTGTTAATGACAATCATTTCAAATGTGCTGATTGCACTGGTTTGTGACTGTGAGGCATCACAGATAACACATTCAGCTTGACTATCATTTCACTGCCACCAAACCCACCGAGGCAGCAGGTATGAAGCAAAAACAGTGAGGGTGTATTTCAGGATAACGTCTGGGGTGCACTTAGGGACAGCAGTTGCTCCGAGCCATTAACATGAAAATAAAGTGAGGAGAGAAAAACATGGCCGCATGCAGAGGCAGAAGGACCAGCACAGCGAGAGATGAGGGTTGTGGGCTCGAAACACAGGTGGTGAGCAGCTTGTTTGGTGGTTTCCAGGTAATAGGGAAAACACAGAGGCCTGAGGGAGGACGGCTATAATCAAGAGGGTTCGTGGAGTTCAGGGGGAGAATAAAGTGGTAGTGGTGGTGAAAAGGCCGACTGATAAGGAGAAGCAGCTGGTAGTGGTGAGCGAATTAGCTTTGTTATGCACTTCGTTGTTTACCCTCCGCTCGCTCATGTGCACTGACGCAGCTGAGATGTAAAAAATCTCTGAACCAACCTGTCGGATCCGAGGAGGCGGAAGACTCTGCTCGGATCGGAAATCTCCTGGGTCACCTGGAAATGAAAGAACACAAGAGCTTTGAAGTGACAGCAGCTTCTCTGTGCATCTGAAGCAGCTTTGAAGGCACGTTGTAATGCAAGAAAGATGATGCATGAAGTCACAGGTGTGTTTCTAGTCATCCTGTACGTTGTGTTACATGACAACTTCCTGCACATCAGAGACTTCTACACTCACAATGAACAGACTGATCAACTTTACTCCACAGATGACTAAACAAGATGAAAATAAGAAGTTCAGTTTTCTTAATATAACAGCAATCGAAGGCAAGACAACAGTTGTAGCCACTTACTTACAAACTTACACTCCAATAAAACATCCTCACTTTAGTTTACAGTCAATTTTTAGTCAACAGCCATTTGAAACCCTGCCTTCAAGCATCTGACCTTTCAGGTATTCATCTAGTTGCCTGATTGGTCTTCACTGAAAAGAATAATCAGGCATCAGAACCATAAAAAAACAACCGATATCTTCAGAAATTCAGACAATTCAGGATGGAAGTTGGGCTTAATTCAAGCAGTTTCCTGCACAAATGTGATGATGAGGAGTTAAATGAAACTTTTGCAGTTACAAAAGTATTCAATCAGCCGATTAAACTTATAATAGTGACACAAAACATCATTAGCATAGCTTTAGCTCATGTGTAATGTCAGTTGATCCATTTCTGAGTGAGCACGTTCCTCTGCTGTGTTGTATTTTTGGTGGCAGATCAACATGGATTCTCTCTTCAACAACATGCCGTCTGTATGTTTTTAATAAGCCATCGGTGAATGAGCGCTGTCTCTTGGGACTTTGTGTTGCTGTGTACCTGGACTTGCAGCAGCTTACCTGCTCTAGTCACAAGATGTAGCCTGACACTTCGCAGTGTAAAAGACAAGGGCCCCTTCAAAACACTCGCGTGTTGACATGTCATGAAAACTTGTTGACAGATGCGAGATAGTCGGCGGGTGACACCTGCTAGGTGTAAGTCCTTGGCCCCGGGAGAGATCTGATCTGTTTAAGTCTAAGCGATAACAAGGTCTCGGGTGTTCAAAGGAGCACCCACCGAGCCGAGCACGGATCACCAGGCTCGCCCCCCTTGAATGCCTTCGCTTTTGAGGGGAATCATAACGAGACAAAGGCTGAATTATTTAGTGCTGCTCCCTGTCGTGTGACGGGTTTCGTTTATGATTGAGCATGAATTTTGCATGGCCGCTGACATTTCAAAAATCCTTGCTATGGTCGAACTGTCAAGCTGGGCCGGGCGCAGACTCGGCGAACAGACCTTCTGTTTCATCCGAGTGATGCGGGGCCACGTCTGACACGGCCGGCTTTCAAAAGGGTGGCCCCTATCGCCGTATCACTTTTCATTAAAACAGAATGCTTCACCTCCCTGCGATCTCTTGAACTTTTATTGTGCCGCTGAGCGCAACTCGTGATCGGGTTAACATGGAATCCCTCCGTGAAAGGTGGACGAATTCATTGCTTCGGCCCGACACAAAGACACTTTGTCGGGCCCAACCTGAGGGATAATCTCCTGGGATCACCTGAAGCATGTATCCACAAATATAAACGGACAAGACTTAGGGTCTTTGTTGATCAGAGACAGAGGTGTTTGTTCATGTGTATGGCCACCAGGCCTGCATTCAGGGAGGTGACATGAACTGCATGCAGTTTCCACTCGAGCGGTTACTAAAGACCCATGTAAAGTGACGCTGAAATTGATGCTAATCATCAAAACAATCGAAAGGGAAGATGATTAATGTAGGTGTTTTTATTCTAGTGTCATCTACTTAAAAGGACTGAAAAGTTCTTTGGATTAGAGCTGCATGATTATGGCCAAAATGATCACCACAGGTATTTTTGAACATATTATTCATCACGATTATTCACTGATTTTATGGACAAAATGTTTTTGCGTAGCACTGCTTTGACTTCCATGTTGGGCTACATTCCTGCTAACGTACACATTTTTGCATCACAATAAGACTTAAAGGAGTCGTCACCTGAATTCAGTGCATCTCATACAGGCTGAACATAAACAAAAATTGGACACAAAACGCTGCACTTCTGCTTATCGAAAGGTACTATAATTTACCAATGTTCCCTAAACGCCTCACATGCGCAGAGATGCTTCTAGTCACCTTTTAGTTACTGCAGTGCAGCCAGAGCAAAAATGTTTTTGGAAAGAATGAAATAATTCCATCTAATGTCAGATTTAACAAGTGATTTGATCTGCATTTACTGTTTTCTATGAGCAGAGCAACATCGGTCTCACAGTTCATCATGTTCACTTAATTGTCAAAAGTTAAAATCGTGATGATATTCAATTGACTGTGCTCTGTCCTACAATAAACTGGCGCAGTATCTAAAAAGACGACGCATGAATCTGCATTTAAACTCACACTTACAACCAGTGTGGCTACATGTGTGCAATTCATTCATGTAAATATTCTTCATTTCATATTCTTGTGTTCTGTTTTTCTGATTTATATTGTATATATTGTGTACATGCCTCGCCTCGTTTACTTGCTTTTTTTAACTGTTATTTTACTGCTGTAACATTGCAAATTTCCCCTTGTGGGACTAATAAGGATATTCTATTTTATACCAAGATTTCACCCTGTTTTAGTGCCTACGTTATACTTTACCTCATTGGACTTGAAGCTCTTTCCCTGCATGCCGTGTTTCCAGAAGGCCAGGACACTATCCTGAAGGCACACTGTTACAGCACAGAGAAAAATGTGGGTTAGAGCACAAGGAAATCATACATTACTCACTGTAGCCAACAAAACACGATCCACTTGATTAATATACAACGTGTGAGCACTACACAACTCAGTCTGAGTTTAAAAAATGTATTCTAAATATGAACTATTGCTGGAAATGTAACATTTGTCAGCTTATAGTTGTATAGGTTATATTTTAAAGTCAGGGATTTCTGGTTTTACACTGAGATGAACCAGGTACCAGATGACGGGATCCAGAAATCCCACTGTTGAATACTGTTTGGCTTTATTAGAAGTTTAGTGCATTCACTGAACCAAAACATCACTCCACATCTCAACTGAAAGCATGTGCGGCAGTGGTAAAGAATTCAAAGCTCCAGTGGCATCATCTTATGTCTTTAATAGTCTAATAATAGTAGCATTGCAGCAGCGCAGCATTCCAGCAACATTTAAGGGACGGTGGGGGGGCAGCATGATCCACTATAAACCAACTTCTTTACATACACAGAGGTGGAAGACGTGTCTGAAAACTTACCAACAGATCCGATGCAGAAGTCAAAGCTGAGCTCGGAGGCCAGCTTCTTGTTGGACTTCAGTCTGCCCTGGAGATTAACGATCTTCAGATTTTCTGAGGAGATGACGTGATTTATAAATTGTTAGACAGTGCAGGGTGCATGAAATTATTTTTCTTTGAACTACATGAAACGCTAACGGAGACTACTTACGGTCCAAGCACACCAACACTGTGTCTCTCTCCAGCTGGGTGACGTGGATTGCATCCACCTGCTGATTATCTGTGGGGAGGAAAGATGCAACTTCTTCTTTAATACCCTGCAATCTACCACTTATTTATATAAGACAGTGATGTTTTTCTTTCCTCAAAGGTCAAATCTACTCTTTGATAATGCTTCTATACTGCGAGTCCATACATTCACCCATTTTCTACACACCACTTTGTCCTATGAAGGGTGGATATAATATGAACGGCTGTTCAAACTCCAAAAAGCCACAAGGAAGCTCAAAAGGATGCAAACTTTGGCTACATGGCACTCTGGTCCACTAAGACCATCATCAATAGAGGAACTCTCTTTTGCCCTGCTTTATGGTGTAACTGTTGATGTTTTAGTAGGTTGGAGGTGTTTCTCCTCAATACATTTTTCAGCAATTTTGGTCTATTTATTTTCACTTATTCAAAGGTCTAGTGGTCCATCCTTCATACAAAACAACAGTGTGTCTTTGGATTGTTCCCATCTTGATAACAGAGGACGTATTTGACTTACTGGTCCCCATCTCTGTGAACCAGGAGGAGCAGGAGTTGAGGTTGATGGTCTCGAAGCGGACCACCTGTCCTGGCTCTGTGCCCTGGCTGATGGCGACGCACACCAGAGGATACTCCTGCTCCGGGACCACCAGCATCTCAAACACCTTCAGCGGGCTGGGGAGAGGGAAGTCAAAGTGCTGCAGAAGGAAAAAAGGAGAGACAATATGAGGGTTAGCGTCAATCATGTTCTGATGTTTACATACGTTTCCACCTAAAGTGCCTAAAACTTTAAGTCCCTTTTCTAAGGAACACATTCAGCTGTTGGTTGTCTGCATTTCCACCCAGGTCTAAAGATTCTTGGATATTAAGCAAATTGGTCCACTGACATATGAAAAGTGACGGCTGTTTTCTACACGTCATTTTGTGTGCGACTTGTATACAAACACCAAAACAAACTAGAAGGTGGGGGTAATACAGAAGACTAGGGATGTCTTGATCATTTGTTTCCCCTCAGAGCTGATAGGAGTTATGCAATATTTAGTATCTGCCAACACCCAACACTATTTTCCTTGATAATACACACTTCAAGTATTGTGCATTGGTCATAGTACCTCGTTAAGCTTCCAGGTGGAGCCTTTTCCTGTTTAATAATGTAGCATCCAGAGGAGGCTAGCATTGTGGGGGTTCAGTCAGTAAAGGGGCACCATGACAAAGGTTTCTGTGACGCCTAATCACGTGCAGCCAGCGCACCCGTGTTAAATCTAGCTGGGATTAACTACGAAAGCATTTCTATATCTCAGTGGCATTTGTAACAGCCACATATGCGGCCCATATTGTGTGTCCATGGTTTAAAATAGTAATTTCAGCACACAACAAATGCTTAGTGTGTACAAATTGGATTATAAATCAAACACTGATTAATAATGCTACATTTATTAGGGAACCTACTCAAACTTACAACATCTGTGGCACAATGGGTGTAAACAACGGATCTTAGGTTTGTGCTGATCGGTTAAATACTGCCTTGAATGGCCTGGATCTTAATCGGAACATTCCTACCAAAGGTTATGATGAACCCATGTAAAGTGAGGAGCAGGCAACACTGCAGCAACAGCAGGCATGGAGGAGATCCACGGCTCCTGCTGACTGTGATTTAGTGCTTTGCAAATTAGATCACTGAATCAATGCTGGAAAAGATACAAGCAGCAAAGTGGATTCAAAACACCTACAAAGCTAAACCGAAAGGAAGCAAGTGGACTTTATGAGCTATTGCAGAGATGGACCATGAAGTGACTGTGATGAAATGGATGAAATCGAAGGCCGAGTCTATTTGATTAATCAGAAACGTTTGGTGCTGCCACCTGCAACCCTAAAGTGCCTGAACTTTTGGAAAGTAGAACCCCCTGAATAGCAGTAAATATTTTCCACAAAATGTATTTTAGGCAGAGGTCAATGCAGTGGAAACACTCTGAGATCCTCCAAAGGTCTCTAGTTCCTGCGGAAAGTTTTTTCGGTGGAAACGCAGCTTTAGAATTAGTCTTGAATTCTAAAGCTAGAGACGATTTGCTGCAAGTGCAAGGGCATACATCACTTCAGTAGAGTTATGCTTGTAAAAATTCCCAGGGAACTTGTACAACTTCTGTTAAGGAGCAAAAAAGTGACAGGCATTTTTTAAATTCCACTGCATGCATACTTCTGGAGGAAAAAACATAGTACAATCTTGCAGTTAAACCAACCAGTCTTGCTCAATAAATTGGTGAGGTTTCAGTAGCATTTGAAATAAAATAACCAACTGACCTTGATGAGCATAAACCTCTGCATGGGCTCATACCACTGCAACAGGACAATCCCAGACTGAAGCGCCCCACACAGGTACTTGTGGCCTGTGTACGGATTTCGCACTGTGAAGAAGATCAGAACAGAGTGTCCATATGAGCTGACAGACCGAGCTATGTAGATCCTCTATAACAGAGCATCTGATCAAAACAGGGGTTCAAAATAATGGTGCAGCAGAAGCCCTGGAGGTGGTTGAAGCACACAAATGTTGCATGCAGACTTAGACCCATCTAAACACATGTATGCCAACAACGCAAGAGAACACAACAGCCCAAACACCATATTATTATTTGATAGTAATTTAAGTAGCAGAATACATCAAAGTAATCTCCATGTATTAACTGTAGTCCTGAGTAAACAGACAGCAAATAAGCAGTCAGTTTTTAAAGAAAAACAATCTTTGCTAACAATCATTGCAAAAATATTTCTAGTCTTTGTGAAACTTTATTTGATTTCTGCAAAATTCATAAGCTCACATCTCCTGGGTAACACCAGCTTGGGAACCACTGGTTTAAAATATTTAAAAAATCTAATTAATCACCAACCTCACTGGCATTCATACACACAAACAGTAAAAAGGGATAATAGCGAAAAAAAAAAAAATGAGAGCGTGACTAAGTGGAGAAGTTTCTTCTTGTGTATTGACACAACTAATTGTGTTGAAAGTAAAGGTAAATAAACCAGAGTGGTTAGGAGGCAAAGGCCACTCACCAATGCAGCACTTGTGACAGCCCTTTGTGTCGGGGATCTTAGTTGTCAAGGCAAATCTCCTGAGGAGAAAAACAGTGAAGTTGTTGTGACCACAGTCTTAAAAGAGCTGATGACGTCTAGAATCAGGGAAGTTGGCCAGCGGTTCTTCTTTTTTCTGTACCACCGCAGCCGTTTGTCACGATGGTAGACAGTGTAGAACAACAACAAAGCGACTGCACAGCGTGAGCGTAGCAACGTGCTCACCGATACAAAAAGCAGAGGTGTGGCCGTATTACACAAGTGACATGAATGTAAATAAGACGAACTTCAGATCCAAATTCCAGGTCTGTTGATCTCACCTGGGCAAAATTTTATCTGGGAAGCGATGAGTCTGGAACTGAGCAGCCAGGCCGGGCTTCTTGAGCTGTTCAAACAGCCCGATGAGATTGTGTGAATACAGCTGGAAGCTTCTCCCTGCAGCAGAAAACATCATATTCAACCATCAGCTCCATGAGTATAAACTGTAAGGAGTGTAGTAGTAATCTAAACTAAGAGCTAACATACGACAAAAAGTGAGTAAACTTTTGACTTTGAACAAGATTGCAACAATCCTGGAGCCCGTGGGGCAGTTTTCACATGTAGAAAGGTTAGATGTGAACAGGGGTAAAAACAGAAGTGTGATGATGATGTGAAGCATGATTACCTTCTGATGAAGCCAGTTAGTAGAATATCAAATCAAGCCAGGCGAGAGGAGGATGGACAGTGTCCAAGGGAAGAGGAGAAGAGAACAGAGGTTAAGTATACCAAGGGGCAAACTGCTGAAGGTAAAACCGAAAGTAGACCTTACGCTTTGTAATCCCATCCTCAACTGTTTAACCCAGAAAAGGATCGACTCTTAGGCCAAATGAAGACAGTTTGGTTTCAGATGATGGGCGATTTGAGTTTCTGTTCTATACATGAAACAACCCACACTTGCTTGTGCTGCTAGAGTGCACTGCAACCTACAAAGATCAACACATCTAAGTGTTTCTTCAGCAGTAAAGTCACATATATCACTTGTGAGTCACTGTGCTTCAAGGACAAAGCTCTTACAGAGGCCCTCCGATGGCAAACAAAAGAAATAGTTATTTTAGTGCTGCAGATATGGAGTGACTGTGTTGCCTTCAGGGGCAGACAGATAACACAGGACAAGGAAGCAGCAGGTTATGACAGTGGCCAGTGAAGCAGGAGGTTGAGATAAGTTTATCACTTACCCGATAGAGACATCAGGTTGTTGTTGATAACGTACAGCCACGTGCACTTCCTTGGGAAAAGCTAGAATTAAACACAAACGATACAATCACCTTGTTGTCAATTATTAGTTTAGAAAGAAGGGAGAATAAAGAATTGAAAGTACATTAAATTGCCAATGAACACTTGCTGAACTCCTCAGATTTAGGTGGGCAAATAGAGTGTACACAAAAGATGGATGTAGGCAGCATAATGTAACCCAGTAGTTTGTAGACTACCATTGTTAAACCTCCAGTTCACCATCTTGGTCTTTCAAAAATGTATGTGACAAGCAAGCATTTGGTCTGTAAAACACAAAGACATTGCACATGTCCATACAGTAGCGACCTTTTAATGATAAGGTATACATGCCTGAAACATACATTTACTGTGTATTTTACTCTAAATGGGACTACAGTTCACTAAATTAACATTACGCTGTATTGAGGGAGACTTTAAAGTAGCAATTGAGACCATAAACGCACAAGGAAAATGATCACTGCGGTAACAGATCAAGTGAGAAGTATGGTCATTTTCTCAATAAAGTCTATACAGTCAGACTCATTTTTGCGTTTCCCCCTGCTGGCCATTACAAAGAATGCAGGTTTAAGTGACTTCTGCATGAGCTTCACTGGTCAGACCTGGAGGCTACATCCATCTTTTATACACAGTCTATGGATCTGCACAGCTGGCCTGCCAAGCTTGACTTAACTGTTCATCGCATTTGAGTTCTTATATCCAGCAATTCAATCATGATTATCCACCAAACACAGCAGTTATTCCATTTCAGCCAGCAAAAGTGACCACTGTTAATAGAAAATTCAGGTAAATTTTGTCTAATTCTGCCTGAAATTAGGACTCTATTTCAACCCCACATGTGCTGATAGAAGAATGTAAACCTTGAGAGGAAACAGTAATTAGGGAGGGTGTGGTTTTCCTTGTGGCTACACTGAACGCATAACGTATGCTAACGTGTATGTTCATGGAGCAGCTGCTGCAACACTCCACTAAAATCAATTAAAAAGTGGCTAAAGTGTGCACAAGAGCAGTGCGTAGGTGGTGCGTAGGTGTTGCAAATGTAAAAGTAGATCACTCATCAATTTCATATCCTTTATGCAATTTGTACCAGGCCCCAGAAATGGTTCATAAAGTGTCAGTATTTATTAAATATTGACCTACTGCTGTAAGGAAAAGAACACTTCATATCAATAAGCGTATTGATCATCCTGCTGGCATTTATTTGGCCTCTGTCTAGTTTAGTCTGTAGATGTGAACGTACTTAAACTTGGTGAAACAAGTTTTATAGTGCTGTGCTGTTTTCTAAACTCGAGATACAACAACGTCAAAATGGACGCTCACGTACATGCGCAGCAGGTTTAGCCACAAACAAAGTTAGTGCATTCTGTAGCGCATTCACTCCACCAACAGTCTGCATACGTTACGTGTTTAATGTTGCCAAAGCTAAAAGTAGAGTCACAGTTGTATACACAGCTTCAGCAGAAGAAGCATGAAGTTATTCTGCTCTATTTCAACAAATTCTGCTGGTGATAACTGTAATGTGACTTAGCTTCAGCTGTTACCTGCTCCATTGTGGCTTCATGCAGCTCATTAAGATTCAGCGTATAGATGCCATCCTCCGTCCCAAAGATTAAGTACTGATCTAGAAAGAAGGAAAAAAAGCAAAAGAAAATTAGGTATTGGCTTTAATAAAACACATTAATTCTGCATATTTGTTCACTGTACTGCATGTACCTTTGGTGTCCGGGTGAATCCATGATGTGGCACAGTTGATCTTCAATGGACAGCCATCAAACACTTTAGAGAAACAGGCTCCCATCTGCAATGAAAAGCAGCGCAGATCAAAACAGGCAGCCTCTGGCTCAGCAAAGCGCTGAAATGTCAGCCAGGGTTTAATGAGCTGGAGCTGAGCTCAACCACAAAGCAGAAAGCTCTGCGGACCCCAAATATCTACAGAATGCACAGCAGCAGCAGCTCAGACGAGAGTTTAATAACAGTGTCCATGAAACCAGGCCAGCAGGGAAGACAGCTAGGGACAATGTAGATGATTCACTCACCAGTACTTTAGGAGTGGGTGGCAGGCCGTTGATAGCTGGTTTCTAAAGAGGAGCGGAGGAAACAAAAACCATAAGATACCGAAGATGCAGACGACTCAGACAAAGCAACAATAATTATTTTAAATTTAGCTACCTAATTTCGCTCCAGTCTCAACAATGAGCCAAACAACAAACAATACCGGCTGTTTTTTTGTGTGCATGTCCCGTCAAACTCAATTAAATGTTCAACACGGGTGCATGCCAGATCTCCATCTCTAGCTGTCAGCACTTGGACATGATGAAGGGGAAAAACATCATATTTGAGGTTTTGGAGCGAGGTCAGCCAGCTCGTTGGAGACACGGCACGGATCAAATATAGGCTCCACGACCACATACGAAATTTTTACTCCGAAACCAAATGAAACGAAAGAAGAGAGGCGTGGCTATGATGGAATACGATGTGCAATGTCTTTAAACTCACAGGGAATTCCTTCTTCTCTTTCCGGTGCTGCCGGTTGGGTGGTGGCTTGGGACTGCCTCCATTCACGCTTCCATCTGAATCATTATCTGTCATGAAAGAGCAGCGTTTCAAATTAAATCTACAGCAGAAGTTTCAATCATACGGTCAAACCGGAAGAATGTAAATCCAAAGATCAGTCACGTCTACAACAAGCTTCCTTACCTTTACATTCAGGTTTAATGAGAGCTTGTAAAAATGAATGAAGCGCTCGTTTAGAGACACAGAAGACATTTACTGAAAGGCAAGTGAAGAGGGCACCGCACATAAATTCAGGTTACAAAAGAAGCTCACCAGGATCAGAGGCGTGAGACAAAAGGCCGGGGCTGCTGACGCTGGCTGAGAGGAAATCTGGAGATGAGTGCTCCCCCTTGTTGCCCTGCTCAGGTGTGCTCTGTCTGCGAGCCACCTGGCTTGGTCCGTTCTCCGAGTTGGGGAACCTCCGAACGGTCAGACACCTCTCATCGTTAAGGCCGATGTCCTCTGAGGAGCTGTTCAATCGTGGCTAAAAGGGAAACAAGAAAAACAGACAAGAAAAAGTATTTATTCAAAACACTGCAGGGAAAACATGGTTAACCCTCTGAACCCCAAAACCCACAAGTGGGCTTAAAAAGCATGTTATATTGGCCAAAATGACGCCATTTATCAAACCTAGAAACTACAAGAAGAGAGAATCGTCTGATTTTTAACTTTCTGATGGTCCTTCAGCTACTCATTTGTGACATGACTGTGGACTGACTGGGAAATTATCCAAACATAAGCTTAAAACTGTGATATTTCATTTAAATTATTTTATTTACACAAGTCTCTTTGCACCAGATTTAGTGTAAAAAAAAAAAAAACAACAACTAAAAACCATGAAGATTTTAGTGACTCAGCTGCAGCCAACAGACACCAGACTAAAATTCAGAGATTTTTCAGCTGAACTGCAGGCTGTGTTTACGCCGAGCAGATCGGAGACAAGTATGGAAATAAATCCAAGTAGTAAAATATCTTTAGTATGTGGAGCTGCTGTTTTTTCCAGTATTGATAACACCTGTGGGCACGTGAAAAATGTCCTGGATTGTTGATTTTGATTCAAAGTTTCATCCATTTTTGTAAAACAAATAAAGACAATCAAGTTCAGTTTTTGCTTCTAGCCACTGATTTCCTTGACGTGCAGGACTTTATATTACAGTACAAAATGAGCCTACAGTTGGTATAAATCTGACAGAAGGAAATAAAAACACATACAAACTGATGGGGTTCAGTAGGTTAATAAGGATACAAGCTATAACCAGGAAATAGTTTACCCAAAAAAAAAAAACATCTCTAATTTTAGGTCTTACCTTTGGGGGCAGAGGAGGAGGTACACATGGCTTCAGGGTCGACCTGAAATTATTTACAGAAAGATGTAAACTACAAAAGTGACTGGTTTATTATAATTTATTTATGACGTAATTCGAATTTATTGACGTAACCCACAGCTCTACTTCTTCAAAGGCATCTTCGAGATGGGCAATGTGTCCCCTGCAGGATGCAAACACAGTAATCAGTGGGGAAAGTGAGACTCATCAGGCCTCAGGAGGGATGTAATGGAGCAAATGTTGATGTGAAATCCCTCCTTGGAGTGAAAGGAGTATGGCTCTCTGGGGAACTGGGGGCGTATTTGTGCTATAACTGAGCTTTCTGTGTTAATACAAGACCTTAAATCACCTCTGAGGTCTGTCAACACTTACCATGTTTAATTTGGTGTTAGTTTAAAACACGGAGACCAAAATAAGATGTGAAAACGACGTTTAGAATTATGAGAAGTGTTGTGTCTTTACTCAGTAAGCCAAAAAACTAAAATTAAAGCAATGTGATGCAACTTTTTACTAAAGGTCTGGACATCTATCAGCGGCTCTCAAGTTGTAAAACAGCACTGTCGAGCCTTGTCTGTATTTTCTTCTCTCAGTTTGGATCTACAGCTATTATCACACCACACATGGCGAATGGATGGGACTTGACTTGGGAGGGAGATTCGAGAACCTCACTGCTAAAACAGGGTTGTGACAGAGCGAGGGGTGGGTAAGGGTGTAGGCGTAGGGTGCTACAGCACACACAGCGTTAGTGTTACCGTTGGAATAACTCATCCTCAACGCTTTTGAGAAGGCTCCTTCGAGGGACAAGACGAGAGAGAGACCGACAGCCGAAAGAGGACAGACAGAAGCGACAGGAGAAAAGAAAAAAAAAACAGTCAAAGCACATGGACAAGTGAGAAGGAGCCTAAAGGCCAGTGTGACATTTCAGACTGCAGATGAGGAAGAGTGAGTTCATGCACAGGTTAGATCCAGTGAGTAAGCAGGTTAATGTGAGAGACAGTGAGGAGCATCCCTCAGGAAATATTTACCCCCAGAGTATGAAAAAAAGAAAGGATATCAAACTACAAAACATGCCTGACTGCTCTTAGAAACTACACGCTTCATCGAAAACAGACTCAGAAGAAGTGAATTAAACACAGAACTTTAGTCATGCCTTCGCTCCGTTTTCTCTCAAGAGATGCATTTATCTAATACGAGCCAGGTACAGAGTGAAAGACGGAGACGGGGTGTAAATGGGAGCAGTTCCCATGACAACAGTTTCCATGGATTACCTGGTTGTTATTCCTCCCTCTGCAAAGGGACTCCAGGGGGAAGGGAAGTCATTATCTTTACTCACATCCTGTGGAAAGGCACACAACGCACAAAAATAGAAGTTATATAAATGTGTGTATTTTTTTGTAAATATATTTGTACTTTTTCCACACACATGGTTGAATTAACAGATTTTAAAAAAGAATAAGTAGTAGTTATAAGCAGGGACTGAACTGAACATGATAATCACCATTTCAGAGTGAGCCGCCTCGGTTTCCTTCCGGAGCGGAGGTTCAAACTGGAGCTTGTCGACTGTGAATGACAAACATTGTGTTTTGTGTTTTGTTTTTTCTTTGCGCACACCTTCGACACTAGAGGGCATCAGCACCCAACACTTCAAGACACGCAAACCTTGGACTCATGTGGATTAGTACCAGGAGCCTTGAGAAACACTCTCCGAGTCCATTCTTAACATAAAATCACGTGTAAGAATGAACCAAAAGCAGATCAGCTGCTTCCACTACATTGTACCTGCCAAAACACCGCTGATTTATGCTGCCACTACGTGAATGTTTGGTCTGCAGCCTGAAGACGAGTTGGTCACCAAAGACAAACACAGATTACACTTGACACTGACCAGATCTGTTCGCTTTGGGGAAATATTGGTGAGAGAACAAGAAATACAAATAAATCACGGAACAGATTCTCCTTCGTTTAGGTTTGAGGTCACACTCTGTCAAACAGTTGATCCAATGAGGAAAACTGGTTCGGTGTCCAGTGTAAACACGATGTGAACCCGCGGTGATTATTAAGGTGAAAGAAATCAACCAACCTGCCAATACATACTCCCACATAATCAGCTTCTCGTGAACAAAGAAACTTTGTATTCAAGAATTCAGACCACAGATTTGTCTCCCAGAGTGTTTTTCTGCTTGAGGTATGCTGATAATGTGGAGGTGCTGCAGGTTTGTAAAACACAGATAACAGCGAGGAGGTTATGAAACCAACACACAGCGATCAAGTTTTGAGAAAGTGAAGTCGAAGGGATCAGGTAAGACGTACCAGTCAAACTCAACTTCCTTGTTAGCATGTGATTAGTCATCTCCAATGTAATTTTATTTTCGTCAGTCTGACAGGAACCAAGATGTCACAACACCCAAATTATTCAACCTAAATCAAGCTACAGCTACAGTCAGTAGCCACTCCATACAGAGGAACTCACCTTATTAGTGCCACTAAAGTCTCAAACTATTGTTCTGTTATGCTACAACATGATCCTAGTTCTCAGGAGTGGGCTGAGGGATTAGACAAACACACACTGTCTCGCTACGCTGTCACTAACCTGCGTCCCCCCTGTGTCCCTCAGTGAAGCTAGGACTTGAGAAAGGCCCTCCTTGGTCTGTTCCATTGTTTGCTTCATGGAGGAGGGAAGGTCAGATAATGGTGAGAAATTCAGATAAAAACCAAACAGGACGTGCATCTGGTACATACGATCACAGTACAAACAAGCACACAACACAATGAAGCACAGTATGCATCGCCACGAATAAATACGACACACATCTGACGGACACATGTCTCACCAATGGACTGGATTAAGCTTAAATGATGAAATGACAAACGACCACAGCCTGATGACACCACAGAGACAACACAGCAGTCAGTAGGGCTGCACAATGTGTAATATTTCAGTGCAAAGTGCGACGTGAAGTAATTAACTCCAACACACCATGTTAAAACATCTTTTGCTGCTTGATACGTTGCTTTTATCACGACGAATTGACCAGACAAATCTGTACTTTATTCCAATTTAAAGGATACACTGAGTTTTTTTTTTAACTATATTTGCAAAACACAGTTTGCTGGAATGCAGTCTCCACATGTGCACTGCAAAATGAGCAAATAACAGAAGAGAAAAACCTAAAAACAAGATTTGTTTGCAAAAAAAAACACACATTGTCAATTGTTTAGAAATATTTTGGCTGCAGAAAAGATCATGTTGACCAAAAACAGGTCAGTGGACAACCAAAAGCTATTCTTTCTCGTTTCTAGTGGTACACAGTCAGCTAAGGTCCCAAACTCCTTTTTTCCAGCAAGTTTTTATACGTTTTTGTTTAATTTTTGATTCAGCTACACTCCTCTATAAAACCACCCCAATCATTCTAGAATGATTAACTCTAACTTTCATTTCACTTTATATATTGCAGAGAAAACAAAACATCACACTGTCAGTTTTGTTCCGGTATCGTGCAGCCCTACCGTCCGGCTTCATCAACACAAAACTACCGATGACACAGAAACTCAACAACTTCCCTGAAGGGTTGCAAAATGATTAAATATGCGCCAACTGTTAAACTACACCAAATTCAGATCTTTCTAACTGGAACTAAACCCCTCAAGAAACTTCAACGGCCCTTCAGACAAGCTATTTGACATTCTTTTAGTAAGAGATGAGAGAGAATTACTTGCTACTTAAAAATAACACATGCTACACAGAAGCCTCATGGACTCTACTACATCCACTTTCTCTTCCGTGAATCCCCAGGCTATTTTTATGCACACTACCACATGCTGTGGTCTGGAAGAGTGCCAGCCAGCGCTGCAGGATTAGCGGGATGACCCTCAGACAAGCCACCGGATCTTTATTGACCTAAACAGCCAGGCTGGCTAACACACGGACCAATGACGGGACAGATGCGAGGCAGGGGGCAGGTCTTGGTGACGGGTTTGGGCTTTTTTGTTCACTTACAGTCGATCTCTGAGCGCGTCCTCTCAGCTCTGGCATGCTTGTTGGTGGAGCGGATGGTGTGTCTGACTGCAGAGAGGGGCTGAAAAAAAGAACAGAGGAAGAGGAAGATTTAAAAATAAAGAAATGGGTTTTAACTGTCTGAATCCCGAAACCCGCCAGGGTTTGGGAGGCATGTTATCTTCAAGAAAAACACATAAAAATGGTACCATTTATTACAGCCAGAAAGTGTAAAAACTTCTGTCGGATTTTCAGCTTTCCAACGGTCCTCATACTGGCTCTGTCTAACATATAGTTTCATTGGGAAAATTAACAGATTCTCAGCTTAAAATTGTAATATTTCTCCAAAACTATTTTATTCTACATGTTTTTTTTTTTTGGTTTTTTTTCAAATATTCACCAAAAATAAACCTTTTGCACTCCTTTTGCCCATCTGACTGAACTGCAGGCCATGCTTGTACAGAGCAGATAGGAGACGAATATGGAAGAAAATGACTAAGATTTAGAGTAAAATAAATCACACTTGAGCCATGAAATGAATGCTGCAAGGCACAAGAAAAGCTATACAGAGAAGTAAGTTGTCTCCAAGTTGCTGAAGGATACATTCTGCATGGTGAAATAGCTTTATGGAGTTGATGCACAGAGTTATCTGAGAAAAAGTTGGTAGAGGTTGTGAAAATGTAAATTACTGATAGTATGTATGTGGTGTCATTTTTTTCTTTCCAGTGTTGATAACAGGCGTGGACATTGACATACATGTTGATTCTAGTTTGTATGATTTTTTTTTGTACAATAAACAATCTAAGAAATGTAGCTATTGTTTGTTCTTTTAGATTTATGGCATTATAATTGTGCCATATTGTGCAGAAGACGTGTTTTGGTTCCATCTACTTCTCGTCATAGTTTTGGCTTTTCCATAGAGGTGCAGGACTTTATATTGAAAGTGAAAAATGAGCCCACAGTGAGTAAAAAAGTAACCGGTGCAAAAGACGCCCAGGAAAAGCTCAATGATTCGATGGTTATCAGCATTGGCAACTTATATAAAACTGACACTGCAAAACCTTGAGTCATGTGGCACAAGTGTGATATTATCTTTTTTAAATCTGTAGAAACTAATTCTGAAACTTGCAAGTCAAGTTAAACCCGAGAGCTGCTTTTCTTGTGCAGCATCACATTATTATGCATCCCGGAGGCTGTTTGTTTGCAAAGAGCTCCATTGCTTGCAGTCAATAGCCTTCGGGGTTTTTTCACTCATCGCGGCCAAGACAGTGCTACTGCTGTCAGGGGGAGAACAGCACAATGGTCTTTTAAAAGGCGCTGGTACCACCTCTTTGGCTGCCACATAGATGTGATGTTGAGTCCAGTTGGAATAATAATGTCAATGGAGAGAATCAAGAAGAAGGGGGAAGGGAAGTTTTAGGGGAACATGAAACCAGACTTCAGCAAGGCTTACTGTTTAGCTTTCACTGCCAAGCTGCAGAAAAACCATGCTGTTCTTGTGTTTACATTCACTGCTGATAGAAAGTCCGACGGTGTTTGCACAGTCTGTTTTACTACAAGGTTCAGTATCATCAAATGTGACAGAGGGAGGTTGTTTTTGTACTTTTACTATCATTTATCTGCAAGAAGAGAATCACAAAAACCACCACGAGAACATAGGTTTTATAATTTGAGATACGTGTATCAGTGCAGTTATATTTTCGATTGCTGCTTTGCTGGCTATGCAGGGTCTGACTTTCCTACTCGATTTCTTTAAGTAAAGACACCATTATTATGATGCACATGGGATGGACGCATTACCTCGAGGTCGTCGTCATCCACTTCACTGTAATGCTGGTGGTTGTCTGGGTTGTTCATCTTATCTAGGAGGTCGACGGCGAGCCTCCTTGTCAAACCTGTCTGGGCCACAAACACGTGCTGGAAGAGACAATAAAATAATAAAGACATTTTATCTTGAGAAGAATTGTTTTTATCAGCAGTCTGACATCCCTTGTCTGATATACATGAGCCATAAAAGTAGCATATCTTCCCTAAAGAGAGACGTAAGTCCTAGTTGCAATATTATAGGGTAATTAGAGCAGTCTGTGTTAATCATCAGCTTCCACGTCTACTGTGCAGGGACAACTACCCTCAGAGGTAGTAACTGTGTTAATAATAGTAGAAGACTATCTTTTAAGCAACAGTAGCACTTGCGTTTATATTCTGCCTGAGGCCTAAATATTCAAAACAGGTGCTAACTGAACTTTAGCTCCTTTTTCAGCGAGCTGACGCACTGACGCTAAGATATAATTACAAAGCTTTAATAAAATACTGAACGCTCAACAGTTCAGGCCAGAGTCTCACTGTACGCCAAACAGCTAGAAATTCTGCCAGAGCCACACATAAGCTCATTAGACCAACTGAGGCTCTGCTGGATTTAGTCAGACCGGCAACTTCTTGTTTGTCGAGCCTTTCGTATTTGCAAACATCAAACAACAACAGCTTGTTTGTGTGGCAAAAAATGACTACGTGCCATTTTAACAGCAACTAAAAAAAAAGAGAGAGAGAGAGAAAAAGACACGACTGAGACTCGGCTACCATTTACTGTTTTGACAAGGTTCAGCTCCTCATTTTGAACATTTTATTCTCTCAGTGACACTAAAGCATCCGCTACACATTAAAGACAAGATTTATTACCGATAGAAGTTTCTCTGCAGTGGGCCGCTTCTTTGGGTTCTTTGTTAGAGACACTTTGACAAAGTTATGGAAGGCAGTGGACCTGGAGGACAAGATATTTCTGTTTAAATACACTGATTATCTGTGGTACCTTCTGAGGCGAAAGTATGAAGTATCTCCTCCTAATCTTGCAACAGTGAACTGATTATTCTGAGACACTCACCATTTGTTTTTGTCTTTTAGCTTGGGAGGCTGGAAGCTACTCTTTGACATCAAAAACAAGGCCCTACAGACGACAAAGAAAAGAGGGAAATGTGCTTCAGTGAGGAATTAAAAAGCCCTGCAACATTGACTAAACATGACTTGAACAGATTAAGTCTAAAACAGGACGGCCGTTCGAGTAATCAAAAGACGTGATGACACATTACAGGACACACAAAAGCAGGAAACAGCCTAAGAACCATGTGAGGAAGTTCTGACCGATCTTTTTTGGGTGGAAGTACCTCATTGGATGCAGGTCAAACATCGGAGGCTGCAGCTCGGCCAACTCTATGGAAGTGATGCCAACAGCCCAGATATCGCACAGCTGGTTGTAGCCACCGTTCTTCTCCACTGCTGCCACTTCTGGAGCCATCCTAGAAAGCAGTCAGGACAGAGCTTCAGTTAAGACCTACATGAACACTAACACTGTGATAATCTGCTGATCACTGTCATAAAACCATGATAGAAAAGAGCCCTGTATCTGCCAGAGTTTTGCTGTAGGAAACTTTAGAGCAGAAAAATGAACTTGTATCTTTTAGGTGAAGCATCTGTTTAACCACTAGTGTGCTGTGGCCGTGTTTCTATGCAACTGTCAAGTGAATATGAAGTAAACTTTTGAAACGCTACAAAAAAACCCCGAAACAATCATGCAAATTAAACTTATTCACTAGAAGAAGACATTTGCTAACCACTACAAAACCTTGGAGATAAATAAAACAAACAAAAACAGAGAGTGTTTGCAAAACGTTTTCAATCGGGCAACTTATAATCATTCTTTCCTGTTTCATGCTGTCTGGAGACGAAGATGATTTAACGAAACAAACAGCTGACCAGTTATGTCAGAGTTAAATGTCTGCTACGTTAGATGTTATTCTAAAAAACATGTTTCCATAAAGTTAAAAACCACCTCAAGCAAGCGCAAAAACTTCTGGCAAAACTGTTTTTTTTCTTTGAAGCAATACTCCAAAATGTGCATTATGACTGTACATGTTCTCTGTACTTGTAGTCATGGTTGTTCTGTTTCCATAGAGGTGCAGGAATTAGCCCCCAGTAAATTAAATTTGTGACTGGAGCTAAAAACCACTTGAGAAAAGCTGTGGCGTAGAGTGTTAGTGCCTTATATAATACTGACGCTACATTACCTTCAGTAATTTGGCACAATTATGACACATTTTTATATAATTTACAAAAACAAATTTGGAAAAACATTCTTTCTTGTCAGCTGGAAACGGTCGTGTTTCATGCTGTCAGAAGACGAAGATGATGAAAGAAGCCGCAACAGCTGCCTCCTCGTGTGAGTCAATGTTCTCTACGTTAGAACTTATTCAAACAGTGTTTCCATCACCTGTTGTGGGCAATAACTCATTTTTGAAAAGTCCAAAATCCCCTCAAGCGAGCAGAATTTTTTTTTTTTTGGAAAACTGAAGATTTATTTTATTTTTTTAAACTTCTTGTGACGCAATACTTGAAAATGTGCATGAAAATACATAATGGAAACGCAGCTAGTGTCGCCACAACCTGGATCCTGCTGGAGAGAAAATGGTGACGGACAGTCAAGTGGAAAGTATTCTCGTATGTGGCTGCAGGTCTTTAATCAGTGCTTCTTTGAAAACGACTTACAAAACCTGTCGAGGGCCCAATGGCTTGTTTTATGAGGGTGACACACTCACCAATAAGGTGTTCCGATGAAGGACTTTCTTTTGGCAATGGTGGCTGTTATTTTGGCTGCAACTCCAAAGTCAGCTGTAACGAGGGTTGACAGGGCTTTTCAGATTACGTAATGCACGCAGGACTAAAAGCAACCCAAGAGTTCAAGTCCTTGAGAATTAAGGCGGCTTGAGAGCAACTTACCTAACTTCACATCTCCGTTGTCTGTTAGAAGTATGTTGGCGCCCTGTTAGTAAACAACAAACATGTCTTTTACTTTGGGAAACTACATTCAAGAGTCAGCAACCATATTTTAAGTCTGAAAATGCTGCGCTGAGCTGATCTGATGCCCAACTGGCTCATAACAAAGTGCCACTTATGTGTTAACCTTTCCCAGTAACATCTGGGCTGGTTAAAGCATTAACTCCTGGTCTGTTTCTGATCTGACTTCCAGTGAAGCAGCACCAGTATTACAGCTTTTTTTTTTTTTTTTTTTGACAGTTCCACCACCAGTGTTTCTGTTGGCTGTGACTGACAGTCTCTCTGGTGGCATCCTGCGGTGAGAGTAGAGGAAACAGGAAGCGCTTGCTGCCTAGAGCTGAGAAAAGATAATAGGTGCGGCCCTGACCTTTATGATAACACATGAGAGTGAGGCTCCAGCCCTTTGTGCGTGCATCGAGCACGATCAACTTCAGTTCAACCTCAAAACTGCGGTAAATGACACTATCAGTCACATGCTGGCGAGTGAGCGCATCCACCACCAGCTACGCTTTTCCTGTGACTTCAGTTCACACCTCTGCCGGACCGCTGCATCACAGGAGTCAGACCTCAGCATTTACAGCGATATTAATAGTTTAAAGCTACTTTTTGAGATGAGCTGCTTGAAGATTTTCCATCTGCGTGGACATGAGACCAAGTGTTTGTGTGACATTTAAGCTTAAAAGAAGACAAAATAAAAAGAGATGCTACCTTGATGTCGCGGTGCATCTTGCCCTTGGTGTGCAGGTACCCCAAACCCTGCAGAGGCAATAAAGGTTTGCTGTAGTGAGTTAAACTGAAACAACAAACTTTGGAATATTCATTCAAAACATGTTGTAGAAGTACCTGTAAGGTTTCTCTGCTGACGTATGCAATTTGAAGCTCTGACAGAGGTCCAGTCACTGTAACAACACAATTTAATTGAATGTTTGCAGGAAACGACAGGCACATAATACACACAAATACTTGAGGACGACAAAAACTCACCATGATAGATGTCCTGCAGAGATCCTCCACCACAGTACTCCATACATATCCAAAGTTTCTCTCGACTGAAAAAAAAAAGGCAGATGCAACCGCCAAGTTAGGAACTATTACATCACACTACGCAGCACAACAACAATAATTACATATAAATATCCTGCAACAACTTTATCAGCATGTTAATAAACAGTATAAAGTATATTCACAGAGAGGTGAAAGATAAACTGTTAGTGGTTTTGCAGCTTTTTGGTAACTGGGTGAAGCGGATGTCTGACATGATTGGGGTGAGTAAAATTATGTCAACCATCTTACTAGATACCAGAAATAAGTAATAAAACTGCATGATTACAACTGTGGCGCCAAACCAGCAGAGAGGACGACACTGTTCGCTGCCAACAGGTTTCCAATCAGTTACGCTGCTCCTCTAAGGCTGCTGGGTTGATTGGGTGGTTGATGCGCTATTTTCCGACCCAATTCTCATTGCACTACGCCAACAGCTTTCCAGGATCATACCATGTTTTAACAACTTTGAACCAGCTAAACCAAATGGAGACTGACTGGTGTGACCTATAAACTTTGACTGACCGTTTACTCCGATTTGAACCAAACTAAGCGACATTTTGTCAAAGAAGTTGTTGGTTTGGCTGCATTTTGTTCAATCAGATGCCGGCCAAAATAGTTCAGTGTAAACTCTGCAAACTGTTATCAACAACCACAAGGGCATGTCGTGAAAAAACAGTAGGTTAACTCGTCTTGGTTATATTTCCCGGCAGTTCTGGAATCACCAATTGATTTCCAGAAATTGTAGAAATACGGGCAGGTGCACGGTTATCTGCTCCTTGTATAAAATAACCAGGTTAAAATAATGTACAATGCTGCAAATGCTAGTGTTTTTATGTCTCTTTATAGTTAATTTAGGTTCATGAGGCTATTATATAGAGCACAATGTGGTGATTTAGTTAATCTAGACCTAGCAAAAACCATTCGACGAGTTGAAGAGACGACACCATTTCAGTGAACCAACGGTTTCTTCGTCTGAGTACAGCCGTGTGCTCTTCACACCTTTAAGCTGCTCATGGAAACCATTTTAGGTAAAGAGACAGATCAAAAGGAAGCTTGAATTTCCTCAAATAAATAAACCGTGGTTCGGCTGAAACAATTACCGTAGTTTTGTAATAATTAATGCATGGTGGGTTGCTCATTAACATTTTACTGTGACCTGTGGAGCTCTGTGTGGCAGGTCTATACGAGACATGCCTGCTGCGATAAGACATGCATCTCTCTGCACTAACAGCCACATAAAACAGTTCAGAGGCTCATATTCCAGTTAAACCTGCTGGAAGTCGGGAGGCAGTTGTGGGCGGACCGGACCTACTTCCTCTGAGATACCAGCCGCAAAACACAGACTCCATTAAAACACAAGAGCAGCATCCTGGCACTGAAGGGCCTAGTCAGCACCAGTCAGTCCAGTCGAGGAGTTTGAGTCATACTTTCACACAACACTGTGACTAAGTAATTAAATACATCATGTGAGTTTCGGGCAGCGGCTTGTTAAATCCTTTTGACAGTTACATATGAATTCCACAACTGGACCGGCTGCGAGAGACGAGAAGAAGACAGAGTATAAAATGACAAAGCAGCAGTAATTTTCGAGCTGGATCTTACCAGAGGTAGCTCCCAAAGTAGGCCACAATGTTGTGGTGCATGCATTCCTTCACCATGAAGATTTCCTGCTGTATGATGGAAAAGTCATCCCCTGGAAACAGAGGGAGAAATCGCACACACGCATGGACAGAAATTATTAGTTTTTCATTGTCTGCATAGCAAGCTGCGCCATTTTAAAATGAGAAATGTTTGCAGGCACGAAACTGGAATCATTTTCGGTTCATGTCGGCAACAAAACTGGTGTTTTCGACTCTAAAACAAACCTTGAATATGACAAAAATCAAAGCGACTAGAATGCCAGAAAGGTTGTCTGAAATTTTTGGTTTTAGAAAACACTTCAATCTTTCCTACTGGTTTACCAGACTGAAAAAAAAAAAAACTGCCACAAAGTCATCCCATATTTACCTCTGACTATATGGTTCCCGACTTCATTTCTGTGTAAATACAGCAGATTATAGAACAGCCAATAACATTAGAAGGAACATCTTGTACTTTTAAAGTTTATGTGGTATAGGCCAATATCCAGGCTGCCTTCCAGTGCAGCAGTAGGAAGTAGAAAGACAAAAATATGTAAGTCCAGCTGCTCCCAATTGTGCAGAGAGACAGCCCTGGAATACATTAACAGAAGGTTAAGATCTACCAGATTCTGCCAGCTTCAGCGCTCTATCAGCCGACTGTCATCGGAGGCAACACTCCAGATTAAGCTCATTTAACGGATGCGCTCGCTGCCAAAAAACATTACAATCAAAACAGCAGGCCGCATATTTCTGCTGCTGGAAATTACTGACAACAAACCATTTTTTTCCCTCTTTCCCCAGCATATGGTCAAGTGTGTCGGCCTTTTGATGTGTGAATTCTGCTATAAAACCATCTGGTTGACATCTCGGTCCAAAAGTCAAGTAAATTTTGGCTACTGGCGCTTAACCTTGACCTGCCATTCAAAACAGTGTAGCTCAGCCCCAAACGCTGAACCCGGCGGCTCGTGGTTCGACACAATTAAACGGGATTTGAACTCTGGTAGAAAACATGACAAGTGGAAACCGCAGAAGCTCTTTATCGAGCATAAACAGTTTATACCCAACTGCGGTCCTGTTTTCGGCCCGTCTGGGAGGGTTTAGGCTGCCTCACGTGAGCGCCTGAATTAAAGTCTCGTTGGAATGTCAACACGTGCCAAACAAGCCAACCGACAAACAACAAAGCAGTAAATTTCCATTTGCTTTGGACTAAAACCTATCGGAGTGTCATCACAAGCCTTGAAGTGAAGCGTAACTACCTGACTTCTTATGTAATCTAAAATAACAACCACGTACACCTGTTATTATTGCATATATAACAGCATCTTATAAACAGCACAACTCTTGTCAAGTCAGAGCCAGGATCCATTTTTCTTCTTTAGCCAAACAGGCAGACAGGAGAGCGACTGGTCACTAAATATGTTCTCAGCTTTTACATCGCTGATTGTGCAAAATGAGATCATCATGTTCATTGTTCAGTTCATCAGAAGTGTGAGGCGTGTGCACATTCAACTGGTTTTAACATTTACTTTGGGAGTACAGCTGCAGTTGTTATTTGAAAATCACTTGTCAACTATTAAATTCATCTCCAACTATTTTGACAATCGATTAATCAGTTTGAATCATTTTTCAAGAAAAAAAAAGTAAAAATTCTCAGATTCCAGCTGATTAAATTGAATTATTTAATGTTTTTTGTCCTCTTTTATGTAATATTTTTGGGTTGTGGACAAAACAAGACATTTGAGGACGTCATCTTAGACTCTGGGAAACACTCATCTTCATTTTTCACTATTTTCTGATGTTTTTAGAGCAAACTAATCCGAAAATAATCAATAGATTTATGAACAATTACAATAAAATGTTTGTTGCAGGCCTACTTGGATGATTGCTGTTAATATGACTTTAAATAGTCCGATTTAAATTCATCATTTGATATTTCCAGTAATTTGCTCAGTACAATGTTAGCTCTGTTACTTTAAGTGTGAACATCGATTATTACGAATCAAAGACACTTATTATTACTCGTCAGATAGAGTTGTGTGCAGGAAATAACATGAAACCACAGAGTAGTGGCTTCAGACAAAGGGAAGTAAATGCATGAGAGCCAAAGTATTTTTAAATTAGATCATTTCATTGGAAATCAGTTCAAAAAAAGAATGACACCAGGAAAATGCTCCTACGTCAAACCTGGCTTCAGAGATTTATTTTCTAATTGTGCGCACTTATTTTTCTTGTTCTTGTCACAGACACATGGCACGTCTGTAACGAGAATGACTGAGCGACAGTGCGTGAGCTTGTATCACCACCAGGAGGCTGAAGAAAATGGAACTGGAGTCCGTGTATCATTCAGCTTGAACCCCTCCCTTTTATGCATAACAAGACATAATGAGGACGTAATGAATGTCTCACAGTCTCACAAAAGCTACTTACAGCAACTGCTTTACAGCTGGAACGATGACAAATGTGAAAATCATTTCCTGGCTACATCAAAAAAACACCACGAGGAGCAGCCCTCTTATGAACTAATTAATTATGTTCTAATTATGCACCGCTGCGTCTGTAATTACGCACATTCGGGGGGTGAACTCACAGACGTGTTCAAATATAACTGTTGACAGGCAGAAAATGCTTCAAAGAGCCACAAAAATTTTCTGCAAGTGTAATTTCAGTGACACGACTCTGAACTTGGACCTAAAAAAATATATAACAAGTCGACCCACAATCTTCTCTTCTCGGTGAGTCGAGGCCGAAGACCGTAGCCACTTCCTCTCAGACTGAGCGCTTCCCTCTGCTCTGAATATGCACATTCTCACCCATCTCGTCAAGTTTCAATTCAGTATGTTGTCGTTATTCAGCGTTAAGTCCAGACCGATCTCAGTCGAATATGATTTAATCATGTCAACGTACGGAGAATATTGTGTTTTGGCAGGTAAAAGAAGGCAACTGTGATTTAAACTGATCGCTAATCTGGGAAACTTCTGCAAACAGTTAATGCTCATATGCCGATGTGACAGCTTGTAGAAATGAATTAAACTGGCAGAAGTTGCTCAACATTTTAAAGAAATTCAGCATAATTTCTAATGGGAGCTGTCAGGAGGTTGTTGCAAACAAAGAAGCTGAAAAACTTGGCTGTCGCAAGAGAAACAGAGGTGTGACAAAGTCTTTAAAGGAGCATGTACGCGCCGGCAAAAAAGAGAAACTCTCCTACGTCATCTCCCATAAATGGTCAGTGAGTGTAGACAGACGCTAATTTGGTGCAACATGGTTGTTTGTCTTCTAAATGATCCGAACAACAAGCCCCACAGCCTGCAGCCGGAGGGCTTCACCACTCCTAACTCTGTTCTCTGTGTCCCTGACTTCATACCGGCGTCACTGTTCCTGGTCAAACCTGTTTGATTGCACGGTCCACCCAAAGCTGTTTACCTTCAGCACAGAAAGGAGCGACTCTTGCAAAAGCTAGAGTAAAGAAAAGCGAGGCCTCCTTCAACAGCATGGCCTGGGCTGGGATATCACGGGTTTCATTTCTTGTTTCAGAATCACACAAAAAAAGAAGATACTGAAAATATGAAAGCGATTAAAGCCTGCCAAGGACAACTGATGCACAACTCTGCTCTCAACCATTTTTTAACTTGATTTAAGACTGTGCACTTGGCTCAATGTCACTGTTAATTTATCTGGTATTTCCGAGCTGCTCATTTATATTTTACCTTCTAAGTTTGCACAAATAATACTCAGTGTGGCTGCAGTGCACATCAGTGAACATGCATTTACAATTACTATTCTACATCAAGAAAAACTCGTCCCTTCTTGAGTCTTTCACACTCCAACACTCTAATCCTAACTCCTCCTCCTCCTTCGATGTTCCTGCAGAATATATTTGTCTTCCCTTTAATCTCTCTATAAACTGACCAGAGAAGGGGGAACATGCAGACAGATGATCTGGAGTTTACAGATCAAACACTGGACAAGTTGAACATTAGTCCCACATCCAATCACTGCCAGTTTAACGGCGGCATGATGAATGAAAGAGAAAACAAACATAAGTGAATCTCTTCTTCTCTGGCTGGTAATCAGCTGAGCTCTGTCTGGTTGCTGGTGGCACAAAGCCCCCTTCGTAATCCCACTAATCTGGATCGCAGTAACTCTGTCACTAGGTCATCGCCAGCACAGACCCCGACGCAGTCACAAACGAATTCCTGTTCTTCTTCGTGTACACAACCTCAGGCCAGAACATCATTTGGAAACATTTTTATTTTAGAAATATTAACACGCTACTTCTAGTCTGTGATCAGTGCCTAGAAGGACTAATAAACTGAAGATCATTTATTAACTTAATAAATATCAAAATATGTCAAACAACACTGGCTTTATGAGCGCAGAGGAATCTGCACTCTGGAGTTTTGGCACCGCACAAAAATATTTTTCAGTCTTTTTGGAACTTACATATTTCCTCCAAAACCCTGGAAAACAAGTTACTTTCCAGACTCTCAGAATGTGAAAATAGCGTGTGTTTTTTTCCCTCTTCACTTGTGAAGGGAATAATGAGCGAAAGACGATGACTCTTACCTGGTTCCAACTTTATGATCTTCACAGCAGCAAGCTCTCCTGTTTGTATGTTTCGAGCCTGAAAGACACAACAACCACAACAACAACATTCGTGAGCTGCTTTTGCTGCAACTTGCTCAGCTGTTAATTCCAACAACGAAAAACTGAACACATGGACAAAAAATAAACCTCCAATTTTGATTATTGGGTGTTCGTTTCTCATAGAAAACTGCTGCTGCTTGATGATTTGTGGCTTTAGTTTGATGGTTGTTGGACAAAGCAAGATACTCGATGATATCACCTTGAGTTTGAGGGTATTCTAATGGGTACTGTTCATTATTTCTGATATTTTATACACAAAATGTTTGACTGATTAGTCAGAGGAAACGAGCAAAAATACTGCTGCAGCCCTGCTTTGAAGTATATCATCAAAAATGTAATATTTCAAAGTGTGGAGTTGTTAGTCAACCGATAAAAGCAGTTTGCACCTGATTTCGTTAAGCTGTCAGCTGTTTTTATTTTTATTTTTGAACGAAATAACAACACATAAATTGCAGTTGCAGCTGACATCATTACATAACACGGTTCTGTGTTCTGCTAGGACGTGATCCAACGGCCTACATGGGCAACAAGCTAATGAACTGGATGATTTTGAGAAGTGTAATGCAAATGTCAGCTTCTGATTCTGGTAAATTCTGTCTAAACTACCTCTAATATGTTTTGAAAAAAGGCCCAATAAATGTTAACAAAGCTCTCCATAAATAAGCAAAAAAAAAAAGAGGTAATACGGTCAGCGGTGTTAGTCAGCGGGGAGCGGCTGGAGACTGTCTGTCCACCACTATGACTTATCAGTAAACCTTTAAATATCTCAACTGTAAATGACCAGCGGTTTTAGTCAGACTTGCAGTTGCATATTTTCATCCGTTGGTAAATTCAGTTTCTTCCCTGTATTTGGCTCCACAGCGGGACGTTTTATATCGCCGCCCGCTACATCTGACTCTGCAGAGACGAGAGGCTTCAAGACGAGTCCGTCGCTTGTAAATATCCGAGCCAAAGTAGGCTGCGCTGACTTCCAAATCCAGGTCAAGACGGGATGCTCCCTAATCCGTGGGAGTGAAACGTCGGGGCGAGGAGCTAAATCAGCCGTAAACCATAAAACCCTGCAGCAAGGCCACCTTTCAACGCTGGGAGTGTGTTGGCGATTTGCATATATATACAGTAAGCAAACAGAGCTTGAAACTGCGACGTAGATGGTATCGCATGCAAGCAAACAAATCATGGTGCAAGTAGTATTTTACAAACAGTGAAATGATTCTTTTAGCAGTTATTTGACAGACAACTTTAAAAAAGCCAAAGTTCTCTTCTTTATAGAGCAGATGTTCTGGTTTCTTTGCTTTTCTGTGACAGTAAACTGAATATATTTGGGTTTTGTCCAAACAAGGCAATTGAGGACATTATTGAGGCTGAAACTTTACAAGCCAAGCAACTGATCTATTTATCAACAATGGAAATAATCAATAATCACAGCCCTATTTCAAAATTAAAAGCAGTTATTCTGCTGTATATGTACCGCATCATGCATTTTTTTTTCTTCTCGCTTTACACTTCCTGAAGTAGCCGAAAACCAACCTGAGAACTAAACCAGGAAAGAAGAAGTTCAGAGCTGACTGTACACATACGTGATGCGGCAGACAAGACGCCGTTATCGACCTTCGGCTGACGGTAGGAGCATGTAACAGACCTCTGAAGAGACAAGATCTGACACTAGATCAATCACCGTGTCAGACTGAGGTCAAACAGGTGTGTCTGATGTCTGCAGAGGTCTAAGGTGACTGCGGTTAAGACGCCGCTTTACAATACAAACACGCTAAGAAATGTTGCTTTACATCTAACTCTTATGAAGTTCAGCAAAGCTTCTGCTCAAAAAAGCTTATTGATGTTTGCAGGGTCAAAAACTTTCGACTGAAAAATCATTAATAAAGTGAGTACAAGCAGGCTCCTTGTTTGGCATCCGACTATGGCACAAGCAGAGGAATCAATAGTCCATTAACATCCCATTCAGACCTTTTGTAGCTGACTTTCCTTCTCTAAACAAAACTCATTCATACGAATATTTTTTTTAGAGCAGGAGTCTGGCGCATACTTTGTTTTAGACCTTAAATAAGTGCTAATTCTAAAACAGATGGCAGTGACATGACTTAGAGCTCGGTCCAAAAAAAAAAGATAGAACAAGACCTCCGCATAAAGTTCTTGGTAAGTTGAGACCTAAGATTGCCGTTATTTGTTTCCACCTTCTTACATTTGAATATTTTCTGCTTTCTTTCCTCCTTTATGGCAGTAAACAGAATAGACTTATGGGTAAAACTAGACATTTGAGAGCCTCATCTTGGGCTTTGACAAACACTATTTGACATTGTTCACCCTTTTCTGACAAAATATAAACCAAACACCCAACTGCTTAATCGAGAAAACAATCAACAGAAAATAATCACTACTTCCAGCCCCACGAATACATTAATTAATCACCGTCAACAGTGATATAAAAGAGTAAACATGCATTTTTAAAATTAGTATAATCAAATTCCTTGTTTGGCATGCAACTGATACAAACTGAGAAATCAATATTCCATTAACGTTCCATATAGACCTTGTTGTAAACCTGTAAAAAGTCCTAATTGTAAATCAAATGAAGTGATACGAAGGGATATAACACTTAACAACAGTGACAACCAAGAGGATGATTCTCTCATGCCAACTATCAAATTAATCGCCAGCTGTACTGATACTTGATTCATCTGTTTGGATCATTTTTCCAGACAAACAGTCAAAATTCTTTGATTCCAGTTTCTTAAAATTGGATATTTTCTGGTTTCATCCCTCCTCTAGGACTAAATATATCTGGGTTGTGGGTAAAACTAGACATTTGAGATTGCCATCTTAGGCTTTAATAAACATTGTTCAGCATTTCCTGACATAATATAGACCAAACAACTAACTGAGAAAACAATCGCCACTTGCAACCCCAAAAATAAATCATAAATTCACCACTGCCAGTAGTTATAACAAAGACTGCAAATGAGTTTCTTAAGTTAGTGTAATCAAATTCCTTGTCAGGCATCCAGCTTTGATACAAATCAACATCCTATACCGACTACAGGCAGACAGTTTTTAAAGAAAAAAAGGCAAAATTCTCAGATTCCAGCTCCTTAAATTTGAATACTGTCTAATTTCCTTCCGTTTCTGTTACAGTAAACTGAATATTTTTGGGTTGCAGGTGAAACTAGACGATTGAGAACGTCGTCGAGAACATTATCAGACTTTGTTCACCGTTTTCTGACAAAATAAAGACCAAACAACTAAATGATTAATCGACTGTGAAACTAATCGCTACGTGTGGCCCCCATGACAAATACATTCAACAGCCGTGATGACAAAGAGCAAAAATGCATTTCCTCAATCAGCATCATCAAACATAGTAAATCATTAAAGGTGAGGAACGCTGCGCCCGTTAAAGTTCCCCCATTCACGGCAGGCCAGAGGAGGAGTTTTCCCAGTTTGAGGTGTTTCCGCTGTCAGTGCAGCGTCGAACACACCCATAGCGAAACGCATGTTTAGACAGGGGCCTGATCATATTTCAGGCCGCTGCAGCCCTCTCAGCCTGCGAGCTCTGGGAGAATACCAGGCGCAGCATTCCACCGGTGGCCCGTCTGGGGGTGGGGGCTGGCCAGAGAGGCTTTGTATGGAGAGAGGCCACGACAGACCGGCTGAACTATCACGTCTGGATCAGATGGTTGGCCTGTGACAGATGGATAAACACCAAAAATTCTCCAGCAAAACACACGTTGCTGCAGCCGCACACACAGTGGGCAGATCTGGCGGTTTCGGGAGCAACCAGATTAGAAAAAAATGCATATATTCAAAATAAATACAGCGATAAAATATTATTTTAGCAGGATTTTTTTTGTAGGTATTCATAGAAAAGCAGAGGTGAAAAAGCACTTTTAGAATCACAAATAAAGCTATTTTCATTGTAGATTACTGTGGTGACTGCAAATGCCAGAAAAAAAGTGTAAAAATATCCACTACAGCTTCCCAGAAGGCAAAGGAGGTGTTTTGACCAACAGCTCAAAACTCAGAAACATTCAGTTCATCATGTGAGTGTAGTTACGGTCACAATCGATTATTTTCTTGACTAACTGATGAGATGTTTGGTTTATAAAATATCAGAAAATAGCGAAAAAAAATGTTTCCCAAAGCCCAGAATGACAGATATTCAGATTACTGGTATAAAGGAGAGAGAAAACGAGCATATAATCAAATTTAAGAAGCTAGAATCTGGGAATATAGACTGAAACCAAAAAAAAGTTAGCAATTAATTAAATACTTAACATCTAACTGGTAAGTCATTGCAGCTCCACTAATAGCAGCTGCAGGAACACGTGAATATTTGCCGTTTTTTGCAAGATGAATCACTTACTAGAAATCAGCAATGTTGGCGGTTAATTATCTATCGACTGACTAATCAAATATTGTTTCAGCTCCACTTCCTTTGCTATAAAACAGTTTCACTCTGGAGGCTGTCCTGCTTTCTGGGAATTCAGCCTTCGGTCAGAATATGGCTGTTACAGTTAGGTCTCGCTTATCAAAGACATTTAATACATTAAATAAATATAGCTCATGAGCGGCTCCTCCTTTTTTCTCTACAGTAACACAGATATCAGTGTGTTTTAGTTGGCAGGCTGGATATATATCCTATGTACCATCATGTCATTAATTCTCCAGGAAACTTTAGGGCTTTGGCGACGATTTGGGGGAAATCTCTAACTGACAGACATTGCAATACAATTTGCAATATATTTTTTATTCACGTCAAGCTTCAGTTTAAAATCCAGTGTGTGGATTATAGACTTGAAACATGTGGTGGAGCATTATCACGTGAGATACCATCAGATGTGTGACTGTCACACAAGGAGGAAGGAACGAATTTGTTATATCATTGACACGACAGATTAAACTTTGGCTCAGATGCACCGTTTAACATACAGTATAACCTAAATTGCAGCCTTTGCCATATTTATTGTTTCACCACTGATACCATGATATAAGCATTTGTTGCTTCATACAAAAAGACAACTCAGAAAAGAGAAGTCTGTCGAACAGATCATAATTTACTCCAGTCTAAGGGTTCTTAAATACACTTAAGTCTTTTTTCTAGTTTGCTGACATGCAGACTCCACATGTGCAAAACAAACTGAGCAAGAAACTGGAAAGAAACACTTTAAAAAAATGATTTGGTTGCAAAAGGAAACAAATATTAGTTGTGTGAAAGTATTTTGGCTACGCAACGGGTGATGTTAACAAAAAACAGGAGCTCTGTCAGCAGCGTCTACACGAGGAAACATGAATTTTAACTTGTTTGACTCTTTATGTCGGCCCTGCAAAGATCTGCATGATGAGTGCAAAGCCTGATCTGAATGCCATCTGAGGCGGAAAAACTATTTTGGATGCATTTGCCAGTTTCATACCACATGAGAAAGGATTTTTTTTTTGTAACATTGCTGTTTTCCTATGTGGATGCACTCCACTAGAAATCACTCCAATCGCTTTAGAATTATTTCCAAACAGTTTTTCAGATCATCTGGCGAAAATTCCTGTATTTTTTCATTTCACAACATAAACACATCGCAGAAAAACATCTCGCGATGTCAGTTTTTTCCAGTATCATGCAGCCTCATTTTTAATCAACTAATCGTTAAGCCCCATTAAGCGCGACTTAAAATGTTAAATATTTCATGCATTTTACTTGACGGATGATGGTAAGACTATACTAGTACATTTTGGGGAATGACTACTGATGTGGAACATTTTCTCCCCCAAATGAAGTCATGTGGACAAATCGGACAAGCAGGTACAAGCGTTCAGTGTTTGTTTGACTTAACCACATCGGTCAAACTGGTTCAGGAAACCGCTTCAGCTCACAATAATGCAGCCAGAACAACCAGGAAATTATAAACCACATAGTTTTGGGGGGTTTCTTTGGTCAAGGATGCAACCAAAACAGGTATTTTTACATTAATGGATGCAGAACTTCATTTACAAGCTACTGTAAACAGGGCTGCAGCTAACGAGTATCGTTATTGTCAGAAAATGGTGAAAAATGTCAACGAATGTCTTAATTTGTCCACAACAAGAAGATATTTAGTTTTCTGTCACTTTGGAGGGGAAAAAAAATTAAAATATCCACATTAGAGAAGCTGTACTCAGAGAATTTTGACATCCTAATTTCTCAAACTGACTCATCGGTTGTCTGATTATTTAATAATTGACAACTAACTGATTCATTGTTTCATTTCACTTATACAGAAAAGGTTCAGGAAACTGTTTTACATCATTGTCATGCAGTCTGCACAACCAGGAAAAGATTCAAGTTAAAAAAAAATAAAGTTATATAATTGAAACTGATGCAAGCAGGCATAATTACACAGTTATATCTAAGTGAATGGCTGCAGAAATTGGCTCTCATTCAAAAAAAAAAAAAAATACTGTTAAATATGCTCGCCACATGTAGTCATGACTTACAAAACAAACAAAACCTCTGGCTTAAATTACAGTAAAGGGCTGATTAGTCATGAGATGGCAAGTCATGGTATCTGCAGCTCTAATGACAGACTGTGGGAACCAATAACTCCACTGTACCTTGTACACGTCTCCATATGTACCACTTCCCACCCTCTGAATGAGCTCGAAGTCATGCTGGGGGTTCCTCCTCTGGATCTCACCGCTCGGCCGGGGAAAGATGTCCATGGTGGCTTGAAGCAAAAAATGGGGGATCCTTTACATTTAGTGGATCAAATCTGGTGGTTTTGGTGGTTTTGATGGAGGAGCGAGCTTGAATATGAGTCAGTCGGTGTTACTCAGAGGGCCCCTCTCCGTGCTCCATGTCCTGATCAAAAAAAAGTTTGGGAAGAAAGTGTCAGGAAAAGGGTGCAAGTGAAGCAGAAGCATGGCAAGCTTTTAATCTGTGTAAATCAATAACAGGAGCAATAGAGCAGACATGGCTGTGGCTATTTAAAGGTGCATATGTCACACCAGCACAGTTAATTTAATCTATTGGCAACTAACACTTTAAGCAAAGTTATTAAGGAGTCTTTATGGAGCATCTAATACAGCAAAGACAACTAAAACAGCACTAACTGGTGTCTAAACACTGTGGTCATTCCAGCAAATAGCCGGAGCCAGTTTAGAGAGAGGAGGGGGGGTTTAGCATCCGAGTCGGCTAATGCTAGCTAGCTAGCAAACTTAGCTTCGCGTCCGCTTCTAAACTTCAGCCGCTCGTACCTTTCACGACACAAACACCGCCGACGAGCACGTCTTGCATTTTTAAAAAATCTTTTCCGGGCCTTTGGCGGTGCGATGGCGTCGAATAGAGGCAGGGAGAAGAGAAGCGGTGCCCCTTTGTTATCGAGGAAACAGTAGTAAACTTGAGTTGGCTGCTGCCGCTGCTGCTGCTGCTGCCGCTGCTGCTGCTTCACTCCGTCTCCTTCACGGCACTGCGGTCCAGTTCAGTCCCCGCAGAAAGCGTTAAGTTGTGCCGTTGACATGTCATTTCCCTCCGCTGGCAGTTTTAGAGACGCACGAGACTCGTACGTAAAATATAGCAGCGGTAAAGTACACAAATAATGTCTTAATGTTGAATTTAGTGACAGAAAAGGCTCCCCTAAAAGCAACAGTGTGCTGCTAATCTGTGTAGAGTCGCAGTTACAGGACTCTGATGCTGCGTTCAGGAGCATTCCGGAACAATTAAGCTCGCTACAGGAAAACTAAGCCAACACAATGTCTGTAACAAGTATTAACCCTCACGTGGACGTTTTTAACCACTT